CATGCAATCAGCCACTCAATTCACATGCCAGATCGATGGTGGAACGACGAACGGACACGCACATGCACACGCACAAACTCTGACACACCGAAGCAGCTACTACAAAAGGTTTTAAGCTCTGTTCACAGCAGAGCTGTACAGGTCAGACTGTCTCTTGGTAGCTGATAGGCTCCGTGTCCAACAAGAATTGAAAAGTAAATGAACCTTACCTGCTCCACATGGAACATTCTTTGTTGGTGTAACAAATTATCGTGTGGTTCTTACGCCCACGGAATATCTAGGGGGTACTCAGGTTCTGTCGACCTTTTTAGATGGTCCACAATGTGCGACATATTTCCTGAGCGTTGTATGGTATGATCCCAGATTTTCATGCACGTCCTTATGTGCCTTTTGCGAAATACCACAGAAAATCGGTAATAGTGAACTATCCAGTCAAGTTCTTCAGCGTTTAACTGACGTTCACTGCAACGGTCTTTATCGATTTATCTCTCCACTTCCACTAGGTTTCGATTAAAGTGTGACGACAGCTTCTTGAGAATGTACTTTTTCGGTACGCCACTCGACACCGACTGTCGACATCGTAGGAATAAACGTTCGACCCCGGACGTGCAAAATTAGGCACAGCGGAATCAACCCTCGTTTGTTATAGGTGTTGCTGTGCCTGGAAAGGTCAACTCCCACAAGTGATAACCAGAGAAACACCACAAACACCTAGTAGTGGCACAATGTACGCGGATCATTCTGTTGCCTCTCAAACGTGATTTATGTCTGCGTGGGGTTACTGATTCACTTGGGTGGCACTGAGTTTTTTGTCCGTGGTTACCTTTACTTAATATACGTGTTTGTTTGCTAATACGCAGCGGATCAATTAACCTTTGTAGTACACCACTTACGCACTCACATGCCTGCCAAATACGTGCACTCAGGCAACTTCCTGTTCGTCAGGTCAAAAGGCAAAATGCCGTGGACACAAAGCACCGCCTCTAACTGACATTGTAATCCACGTTAACGTGTGCAAAACCAAGCAGTAGGTTCAGGATAAAAGTAGACCCTTATTATGAACCACTAGAAGGCAGACATGTGCAAAAAGTGGAAAATATTGATAGATCGATGTTGGACAAAATAAACAACGATGAGCTGGATACTTCCCTCATGCATTTCTATTTCGGAGGTGGGATAGCCCAAGTGGTTAGAGCGCGAATTTACTGACCGGAAGGTCCGTGGTTCGAACCCGACCTCTGCCTCCCGACTTCCCCTGTCTAGGCTTGGGCAACCTGGCGGTATCCCAGCCCTCTTGCCTCCTTCGGGTAGCATGGCAGCTAGGCACCGGAAGGGTGTTGCAGCTGGACGATTTTCTATTTCGGAGAGGCTGTAGAAGGGGCACTGTTAACATGTTGGGGGTGTGCTTGGAACTTTGTCACGTAAGTTTGCGCTTATTTAATCACAGGCCTTGTGAAGTCAACGTCTTTACAAAGTGATCCACAAACAAGAAACAGAAGAACAATCCAATTGAAATCCGAATACTGCTCATTGGAAGGTGTCTCAGTAGACTGGTTTACTTTACCTTGGGGAAAGGGGCGTCCCCTGGCTAGTAAGAATTTCGATCTTTTGAAAAAAAACTTTTCGTTCTGCAATGCACCTTGTAAATGGTCTTATGGGACACAATTATTCCACATTCACTTGCTCATTCTCGCTAGGTTTATCGTTACGTGAATCCACGCTGTAGTGTTTGCTCCCGACGAGTTTGACGATCGATCTACCTCAGTAAACAACGAGCTTATCCAGTCAGGAATTATGAAAACTATAGCGCTACAATTTTTCATGTCCACACATGTTTTCCACGGGATTGTTTTTCCACGACAATCGATTTTGCGCGACAATTCACGGCCACCGCATAACCAGGTGTCTGACTTGCCAGCCTGGCTCATTTGTGTTGCGAGACTAATCGATGACTGCTAGGTCGGCACGTTTATTCGCAGTCTGATCTGGAGTCCGTCTTTTGTTTTAGGGTTTGCGTGACTGTTACTGTTAAGTGGGTTTGTTACTGTCGCCAGTTCGTGCCTTGTTTCTGACCGAGCGCCAGCGTCGTCACCCTTGTTTCGCTACCATGCAACCATGGGCTCGTTCTTCGTACAAACCTCTAAGATTGAGACAAGGGGAAGGCATACTATAAGGGGACCTGATCTGTTATCCTTTCCTGAGGAGTTCTAACTCGGGTCCTGCTCTCTGTTGCTTCCCCAGGAAATCAGTTTTGTTCGATGCGATTGATTCTTCTCACGTATCTCCGGAGGTCCTAGATGAAGGAACCGAACAACTCATTCAACTCGGGTGTTTCTCCGATCCGTGCAATAACTGTATATAGTAATTCCATTTAAGAGGCCAAATGGTTCATCGTCTTTGGTGGATTCTTGTATCGAACAATTCTGTCCGCAAATCGGCGTTCCTGGGAGCTGGCGTGCTCCTTTTTCCTTGATTTATCGGAGTCATAAGTAAGGAACCTCGGGTTTTCCTGACCCAACAATTGAAACAACACTACTTTGGTTGTTGAAGCATACATATCTTCATGGTCTTTGAAAGCCAACACATCATAATCTGCAGCGTCCACATTGTTTGGTTACCGTGTGTTCGATGGGGATGAATGTCCTAGGAGCAAGTGCTGAATACTGGCTGTACCGCAGCGCATAAAATGACGACGTGGGTCTCCGTGCCTTCGCAATAGGCGAAGGGATTTTTTCAGTTTCGGTAGCAGATTTGATGACCATCCAATATATTTGATCGTGACGTCGGTCTGCCACAACGCCATATGTAGACCCCTATTCCGGGAACAAAATGCTATGAACGAATTCAAGATAGTATCAGCTCTGTTGTTCGCAGAGACACTCATTGTTGTCGGAGAATGGAACGTCCGCGCCGACTCGGCTGCTTCATTTGGCTGCATCGTCATGGTGAAATTCGGCTTCGGGCAGCGCGGTGATGATAGTGTCTGCCTTTTAGATTTTACGGTCCTCAGCCCTCTGTTTGCATCTACTAGTGCACTGTTGATAATGACCATAATACAAATCAGAAGGTGTATGCACTAATAAAAGTTTTTAACTGTGATTGACAGTTGTTTACAGGAGCGATTTGTAGCATGTATAACATAAAGAGCAATATAAAATGTGGAACAAGTCAACAGGGAACTTATCGTATGTGAGTCCCTTGGTAAAAGTCCGGACGGCGGGAACGTGTTTTTCTCCGCAGTGCGACTGCTACACGTACTCCATGATTCTCCGTGGGCTTGGAGTGTTTGGCTGACCCCTTGCTCCCTGCGTGCGCGCGAGACGGTGTGCTGACTGTGTTCAGTTTCCCTATATGTAGGTCCGTTTGCGTATGCGTGGGCGCGTCATCACATGAGTGGTTGCTACGCTCACTAGACGGTGCAGACAATCGACGTCTGATGAGTCACCTTAATGTGACGTGGTTGTGGGCATGAAAAAAAAGGCAAGTCTCGTGATCCCGTGAGCGATTGTGAGCTGAACAGTCAAGTGTGTGGGTGACCGGGTCGCTACACTTCTAGCACCCATTTCCGACACTCACGAATACACCTAGTGTGATACTCAAAGAACGGCCGCACAGCGCATAAAATAAACGTTATTCTACTCTAGTTGAGATGTCGGTGGTAAGGTTAGCTCAGCAACTCCAATGTTTAAATTTTCCAGTTATTCTGTCATTTATTGATAAGAAAGTGAATTCAACTCGGTTATTGATGCTTGAGTCCTTGCCATAATCATCTTCAGCTGTAAACGACGTACGGTGGTTATAGCTGCCACACTTTCGTTTGCCGATGCTCAGGAGAGATAGGATCGGATAGCTACGCATTGTGGACAATAGCTGATATGACTGACACGTAAATCTGTGAATTTTTCATTTGGGAAATCGGGAAGGGAAACTACGCGTCGAAGGTTAGAGGTTGGATGATGCAGTGCTTCCAGAGACCTGAGTTGGAACTAGAGTGGGGTTGGACATGCATGAATCTAGGCAGCGCCATATCGACTCGTCTTTACTCAGTTCCCATCTATTTCATTCCTAACTCATTCACAAGGTTACCGAGCTCACCTTGTTCCTGACACTTGACCTAGTAACCGTTAACCTAATTTAAACGGTTCGCAAGTTGAATGTCGTTGTGCCTTCAGTATCTCACTCTATGCGCATTTTCTATAAGATCTCATATGATCGGTGGTATTGAGTAACCTCATCCAAACCTACACACTTGACACGGGCGTGACAACAGTTGTTTCTCTATGTCTACGAGAGCCTGGATGTATGCCTGTTTCCAGCAATATATGTCCGTGTGAAAAACATCTCTTGCATAGTCAGCCCTGAGAAAAAAATCCAATCTTTCGGTTGTGACTTTCGGTGCACAGCAGCCAAGCAGCCAGAAGCACAAGAGCTAAAGTACTGGAAGGTTGGCCGGCCGCAGCGAGTATCAATCTAAAGTTCGAGAGTGGGTTTGCAACCACCATTCCTCCGGCCGGCAGGTCGCCCCCTTGACCACTAAGCTGTCTCGAGTTTCTTTGTCGTTCGCATCATTTTTTCCTATTTTTTGCTGTGTTCCAGAGATGTTCAATCTAATGATAGCAGTTTTGAGGCCATGTCTTCACGTCATATTTGGGACGGAGAATCCGGTTTTTATTTCTAGTTCCACATGGTTTGGTAGCACTGGTTTCGCACTGCGAACAAATGTTCTTTGTTTTCATAAAGGAAACTACTCACAAGGTTGCTGAAAACTCTTCAGCAGTAGTTTCTTTTATGAAAATATACTGCGATATCTCGAATATCGTGTCAACTGAAACATGAGGCTGCCTGTGTGCAGCACTTTCAGTTGTAGAATATCATAAACGAGAGATTCAGTTGAAAACCAAATTGATTTGCAAATGCGTGTACTTCTCGAAAATGTCCTTTGTATTATCGGTCCTCATATCATTTTCCCGATGCAATCTCTTATCTTTTTTGTTCATCAGATCCGTCCACTGAGACCGTGCAATTTCTAGCGCGGTCATTATACTCTATTGTGTTATCAACCCGAAACTTGGAAGCTGAACTCGCGACCTTTGAAGAGTTGCTTGTACAGTTACTTTCTGGTGACGATTCACACCTGTTCCAGTGTCTGAACCTCTGGTTAGAATTGGAGGATCGCCTCTACAATTGCATGTGAGTGACATTACATGAATATGTTTCATGTGAGCTTGATACACAAAAGACACGTATTCATCGTTGACAGAGACTTTTTAGTTTCTCCCATTTGGTCACCGTATGGCACGTATTCAATGGGAAAAAAATCAACTCGGAGATTATCATTATGGTTTATTGCCGTTTGCAGAGTATAGTTGATAGGTTCACTTGAATTAACACACGATAATGGAGTCTGGCGGTCCGGTCGGAATATTCGCTAATGCTATTCTTGATATAATTTGCCACTTATAAGGTCTGACTAAACATTGCGACAGCAAATTCAACCGAAGGACACCATAAACCAGAGAGTCAATAATTGCATGATGGCACGAGCGTTGGAATTCAGGTATACAACATGTTTAATGTCAATCGTGTCTGTTGCTAACACTGAGGATGGAGAAGGAGGGATTCCGGGTGCGTTTAATTCGATCATGTGCGTGCCATACACATCTGATGTGGACAAATTCAACAAGGTTCCTACACTTCCTTGTGGGTGCAAGGCTGTCGACCGTAAACCGATCCCTCTTGTAAATTTGAAAAACAGCTTACATGATCGAATGCCCAATTCAGTTCACAAGTTTCGAATATTGAGCTCTGTCCTACAGAATATAGCTTTCGGTTAGTTGGCCCGAACAGTGAGACGAAGCTCATTTGGCCTGCGTACACTGTGCAACAAAAAAACATGCCCCAGATTATCAATCTGTGGATTCACAGTCAAGTGGTCAGCGTGAAAGTGTGGAATAGTCACGTCAGTCTCGTGCGTCCACTGTGGTATCACCCGTTCTTGTTTTAAATGAGTTCAAGAGTGCTTGTAAACTCTGGGACTCATCTACTCAAAGCTACTAGTCACTCACCCCGCAAACTTCATCCAGATTTGCCGTCGATCCATCTCTGTTCATCTTACACCAGTCGCCATAGCTAAGGTTGATGCGATTAGAAATTGATGTTTTAGGTAGGACATTACATCCTATTCTGATCACAGTCCAACTCGGAATCTTCTGGTATTTTGCAATTCTCGAGATGGACCAAGTGGTTAGAGCGCGAATTCACTGACCGGAAGGTTCGTGGTTCGAACCCGACCCCTGTCTCTCGACTTCCCCTGTCTAAGTTTGGACAACCTGGCAGTATCCAAGCCTTCGTGCCTCTTTCATGTGGCATAGAAGCTAGGCACCGAAAGGGTGCTACAGCCGTACGATCGCAATTTGCATAAGAATTGTCCCCTCAAAGAAATATCCCACTTATGTAAATAAAAATCAGCCTATAGGCGTGAAGTTGGACAGGAGTTTGTATAAACAGTTATCCCGGTAAGAAGAACCCGCCCGAAAAGAGGTCTCTCTCCACAACATTAGTTATGACCTACCTCATGATCCTCTGGAGAAGAGGCGGCCTTTCCAGTGGAGGTCAGATATCCCGTTTTATCCTCTCGCTACCCAAATATTCTGAATGGAACTTATTGCTTACAAAGTCAGTTTGGATGCCTCACTGAGTAGCTAGCTTGTTTTGAGAAGAGTTTTTTTATCCAGCAGAAAATTTTCTCTCCTTAAAGCTCCACTCAGCAATCTTTGCTGAAAATGATCCCAGACGCTCACTGGGCATTTGCTCGTTTGGCACAAACCATCGGTTACTCTGCCCACCTACTGGTAGACTGGATTGTCTCACCCGAGACCAACTGCCTTACTTATCTGATTCGGTATCTGCGCCGGTTCCGGGACCCAGACAGATGCAGGTCAATCGCTCCGACAGAACAACCAGCACCGGTGAGCCCCCAACCAACTTCTACGACAATGGGAAACACGTCGCTTCCAGCTGAAAACATATCACACTGGCCCAGGGCGGAGTTGAAAGACATGCTTCGAAGTGTAGCTCATTGTCTACACACTTTGAATAGTCACGGAAACGTCCCTTTCAACCCACTCCCTCTTATTCGGAGTATCAATCATGCACTCTCAGTTATTTGACAAACCGCCATGTCTCTGCCATTGTCTTTCATCTAGAGTGCTTTATTGATGCCTCTATTTTTCGTCTTCGTATAATAAGCATTGGCATCCACGTCTTGTTTTCCACTTGTCCAACGAATTTCTTCACGCTTTTTCAATTGACGCCAAATTGCTGACCAGGCAACAGTAGTATTCTAGATTCTGCTTCTACGCGTGAATATACTGCCAACCAATCAGGCCTAAGTTTGGCCAGATCTAGTCCTGAATATAGGTCTGATCGATGCATGACAAATCGATCGTCTCGTCATGCATTAGGTACCCTCACTTCCGGCATTGTCTCCGTAGGCGTGTCTTATGGTCAGGCCTAGCAATGCTACATGTGTCACACGTTAGTTACTGTTCATGTACGCTGACTTTCAAACCGGGTTTTGTAACCTACGGCTGGTTTGTTCGCCGCATGCTTGCAGTTTTTCTTTTCGCTCGATATCAGGAACCTTTTTACTCGTGTGCTCCTCAGAACTCAGTGACAAGACTTGGTAATCGTGTCCCCTAGTTTTTTTCACTCAAGTTTAACAGCCACAGTGAGTGCATTAGTGGACAGCTACTTACCCTTAACCTACTTAGTTGTCGTAACAAGGTAGCTGCTTGTGCATAAGGCTGATTGATTGCGTTATCCAGCCCCAACTCTTATCTACTCCACTGATGGCTCTTAGCTGGTTTTCAGTCCTAGTGCAGGTACGTCAAATTTGAAAGCGGTGATAATGCGAGAAAACGAATAAGTATATTGGACATTTAGGGCCTCACACTCAATTCCTCTTGTTTCGGTCCAAATCTCCTGTAACCTGATATCAGCAACAGAGCTCTTTCAGATGGATGGACCAGATAAATGCAGCATGGCTTGTATACAGAAGGGGTTAGCCTCAGTCGGTAAGTACTGATTTTTGTTTTCTCTGTTTAGGGAGAAGGTGAATTAACAATACTAGTTGGTCTATATGACTCGGGTGACCCAGACGTTGAAAGACCATGTTGCCACTTGTTGTCATGAGTTGACAAGAGTGGGGTATTTGAGTCATATAAGGGAGCGCAGGGCTGACTAATTGAGTCTGTCAATCTGAATCATGGTCTCCATCCGACTGGAAGCTCCAGCGTATCCTGGTATTGCGAGTATCCCAGAGTAATCGCAATGCACAAATGAGTTAGTAGTGGTTCTAAAACAGGAATGAAGAAAATTCAGTTGAAATTTCGTCAATACGTTAAAGGTGTGATGACTCGATGACAGCATGGGATGACTATAATTTTATCATGCCTGTTCTTCATCCTTCAATACCTTACGCCATTTGATCGAAATGATGGTATTTTCGCGAACCCTGGGTTTTATCTGTTGATCAAAAGTCACTGTTCCACGCTGTAGGAGTGACGTGATGGGTAATGAAGTAGGTCCTATATGGTTGGAGTGGACAGACCCAACCGGAGCTTCGTAACTGAAGTAGGGGGTTAATGCTACTCGAAACACAGTGATTGCGACAACTGTCTTCGGTGAAATTTCATCAGTCAGACACATCCACAACTAGACTACGTTCAGATTCAAACAAACAATGTCATCGGAGAATTCATTACCTGAGTCTGGTGGGAATACCGGATCAGCAATGCTAAAGTATGTCAACTGGTTTTTGGAAGAACTAACTCACTCACGATGGATGAACTGATCACACTGCACCATAGGTTGCGCTGGCTTCGCCACGTGCTCCATGCCAGTCGACCGACTTCCTTGAAGGGTTCTTTTCACATAACCACGCGAAGTACTGAAACGAGCCAGTGGTGGTCAAACAATGACCTGGCAGCGAAGTATGAAAACCATTGCCAGCAAATTCAGCTGCCCTGGTCATTGGCGCCTCCCTGGATTGATACCCCGAGACAGGCGGCATCAATGTTTAGGGACATTGTCAGGCATGGCCCAGTCAAGCTCTCAATGACCCTCGTGCATCCATGCTATTACCTTCAACACATAGCTCCCATCCCAACCCCACCCCCACGTAAAAGTCCACTGACAGTCCTGTATTTACTTACGTATCACCCGTTCTTGTTTTAAATGAGTTCAAGAGTGCTTGTAAACTCTGGGACTCATCTACTCAAAGCTACTAGTCACTCACCCCGCAAACTTCATCCAGATTTGCACCGGTGGACGGAACTGTGACAGCTACATTAGCTGTACAACATTTACGTGTTTTTTTTACAACAGATGATGATAACATTGTACAACTCTAGAAATTCCTCACCACCTGTGGGTGACGGTTATGGGTATAACAGGCTGAGTAGTGAAAAGAATTGTACTCACTCCACTGATACCTCACAGCTGCAGCTACAATCAGTACTATGTAGTGCGTATGACTGGCCACACCTAATTCGTTTTGCGTACGTTTGACATCATAATTCCTTTTGACACAGGACACCGGGTTAATGACGATACTGGATTCACTCTCATTCATCGTATCGGCGATAATGTATCATGCACAACTTTATACAAAGTGATTATCACAATTTTCACTAGCTTTAGCGATAGTGTGACAGACGAAGCTAATGAACGAAGCCCAAAGACCACAACTACTGTTGATAATTTACGCCGCTTGTGATATCAAAAAGGTATATCACTGGGTCTCAAAAGGCTCGTGTATCATACTACGGTGCAGACTGTTTTGCTGTACGGCTGTGAGACTTGGCCACCTCGGGTGAAGGTTCTGAGACAGCCTCAGGTCATTGACCGCTAGTGCCTCAGATCTATCGATGAAATCGGCTGGAGCCGACGAATTCAGAATAAGGTGAGGGTTGTTGGTGAAGCAGGCGATGCTTCTCTCAAACAGCGTATCCATCGCTACAAGCTAAGATGGCCGGTTCACGGATGCCGAGTGGCCGCCTACCGAGGTGGATGCTGTTTTCGGGGTCTAATTCGGAGCGACCCAAAAGATAGGGGCCGATGGAGTTTGACGTGGTAGAAGGGAATGAAAGATAGTACGAAAAGCCTGGGGACTGTTGATCCTGTTCGCCTTCCACGTTGAGGTCCCCGTGACACTCTTTTGTTTGGACAGACTGTGCGGTATGGCGGCAAACATTATCATTGGCGTCCGTGCTGTCAGTTTTTATCCGCATTATCTGACTGAATATTGGGGGTGTAGGCATCTTGGATATTTGTGACAGGCTAGCCCTGGGTCCCCCTGTCTAACTCATTTTTTCCACCATAAAACTTTATTCAAGCAAATTTGTATGACTACGACAGTGAAAGACCACTGTTCTCATCTGGTTTTGCTGGCAATAATGATGATGAGAATATGTTGCACCTTACAAACAGTTACTACCCTCCATTAACTAAATAAAATGGAAAATAACCACGTGGTCATTTTCGCCACTTTCAAACAAAATTCGTTTATCTACTCGGTACTCATCACTTGAGTTAGTTGGAATGATGATGTGTTCTAAAGGCTGAATCCACGCTGAGTTCACATAAAATTCACAATTATATTGATCCAACCACATTTGTTGAATTCATAGGGAAAAAGTTACAGTACAGTCTAATGTGCACGAACGCAGTGGGTCTTTGTAAATGCGCAACAACGCCAGCTAAAAACGAACTTCATCCACTCTATGCATACCTTATTCGTTTTGTTGTCTTTTCTAGAACAGTCCCGGAATCTCAGACTGGTCAGTTGTCCTAGTTTCTGACCCAATGAGTCCAATTAGTTCGACTTATTACTTCGAATATGGATCGATGTTATTGTATGTACTGTCAGCGTACCCACTATCCAGCACTACAATGATTCATGCCCATGATCATTTTTTGTGCTGTCCTTTAATATCTCAAGACCATGAAATTCAAACGGTCGATTAAATCTTACTGTGCTACTGACGCTACGATGCATATGTGACTGGAGGTCTCCGGGTTGTCGTGGAGAGAAGTTACTCGTGGTTGCGTTGTTAATTTACCACCGTACATCTCGGCCCAATCGGACTAGAACTCGTGCGACACTTTTGGTGATCCAAGTCGCTTATTTTTTCGGTTCTGTTCGTAATTTTGAGGGTTCGTGTTAGGATATTGGGGCAGGTTAGGGAGTAACAGAATCGTCTTTTCTCCTGCCTTCAAGGAAGATGTTTCACTGATGGAAGTTTGTATATCGATATTATTAGCTTTAGAGTTCCAGCCTGTTCTATGAACATCGGAACAGCATATTCTGAATACACTGTACCAAATGTTTACTCGCATACTGGCAGCGAAAACAACCATTCGACGTCGTTCGTGTAGCAAATGGTGAACAGGTAGCCAGAGGTTTCGTACAGCCGAAAAAACGGACCACCTTGCTTTTAATTGCCTATCAGTGAGTGAGTTCACATGATATTTGAACGTCTTATTGGGGCCAGAATAATCAAGACGGCTTGTAAGCAAAATCTTAAAAGTTATTTTCTAAGAACCGAACATGTCATTCTGTACTTTTCATGGATAAACTCATGGACAACGGGTACGAAAAATTCACCGCGCTAATTGTTGTAGCACAAAATTCAATGCCATACATGGACAAGATTCAGATAGATTCGTACGACAAACGTTTTGATCTCGAACCGTCACTAAGGGTTTGTTTTCGCTACAGGCACTTCTTTCCAATCAACCAGATAGATTTTCGTTTGATGGACTAGGCTATCAATTTTTCAGGGTATCGCTGGATACCCCGTGCCTCGGAAAACACTGAATCACATTGGCGGCCACAACACTCGAAATGGATCCGAACGTCAGTCAAGGAGTGAACATGCATTTCATAGCTTAGGGTCTGTTCATGCAATTTAGAACCCCAACTCTTCCCTCCAGAAGGGACTTTGACCAGGCGCCGTGTGGGGTCACCGGTGGTGAGAGGGTAGTGTTTCTGCATTTCTTAAGTGTGACACGACTACGGCAATGGTGTCTTTTAGTCAATTCTAAAGTCACGACTGACTTCATTTCACGAACAATGCAGTTAGATCAGAGGACTGATTTTAGTTTAGGATAATTAGTATTGTATTCCTCGAGCTTGCAGATGATTATTGTTCAGCTGTGTGCCCTAACTTGAGTTTTCCCGTTCTG